GATAACCAGGGGATATAGATCTAGATTGATAGATATAAAAGCCAGCATTGAAATGAAAAAAATTCTTTTTATACACCAGCGAGTTCTTGTAATCTGGAACGCTCTGCCTGAAAAAGTGGAAGTAATGGTTTCAGCTGTAACTTGCTTAAAAAAGGGATTTGGGCAAAAACTTAAAGAGGGAGATAGCAGGATTAGACGAAGGAGCAGGGAGAGGGGCAGCTTTGGATACACTTTCAATGAACCAGGAGACAGACGTGATGAGCTGAATGGCCTCCTTTCACATGCTTCACCCTTCTTTACGTCTGTGATTACAACTTTAAATATTAGACAACATCATAATTGGGGATTTAAGATCTGACATTTTTGAATGATGTTGACATTTTGCTCATGAATACATGCATGTAATTGCAGTGGGCATTATAATACAAGTAAAACCTTCTGGCTAAGCTTTAGCACGGTGATGACTACTTTTATCCTGTGACAGCACGTTAACAGTTAAAAATGAGATTTGCTCAGACAAGGAGAAATATCTTCCTGCTTGGTTTGATATAATTGTTGCTGGGTCATTGGTTATCAGGCTGATGCTACGGAATTCAATGCAAGTCAGTGAATTCATAGAAAGTAACTTATGCGTCTTGTTCAAATATATTTTGATTGTCAGCTCTTTCTGACTTTCATATGGCCCTTTTTAAATTAACTGAGCTCTGGTAATTTATTTTTTTGGAAGTATTTATTTAACTGCCTTTAAATATGGAGTTTATCTAGAGCCTTTTAAAGAGAACTGTTCAGACCAGATTAAAGAATATTAGGATTGGGAGCCAGCTATTTGGCAACTTGAGTGTCTTCCTTTATTCAAGAAGGTCATGGCTATTTTTTTTTACTTCAACCTGACTTCCTTGCTCAATCCCTATATCCCTTAATTTCCTTATGGAGTATTATATACTGGTGGTGGTTTTTACTGGTGACAGTTCCCTTTTAATGTTAATAAAACAAAGACAGAATTCCCAGAATTGTTACCGTGCACAAGGAGGCCATTCAGCCCATTGTAAATGCACTGGCTGTCTGAACATTTTTGATTTAGTAACAATCTCCAGCCTTTTTCCCAGCAACCCTGCAATTTTTTCTATTTAAATAATCATCCAGCACCCTAAATTGAACCTGCCTCCACTACACCTCCAGGCAGTGCATTACAGACCCTATGTACTCATTATGTGAAAAAGTTTTTTTTGCAAAACACTTAAAACTGTTCCCTCTTGTTCTCTATCCATTTACAAGCAGGAACAATTTCTCCCTATAGAGGTAACAAGGTGTAGAGCTGGATGAACACAGCAGGCCAAGCAGCATCAGAAGAGCAGGAAGGCTGTCATTTCAGGCCTAGACCCTTCTTCAGAAAACGATTTCTCCCTATCCACTTTGTGCAGACCACTCGTGATTTTGAAAACTTCTATTAAATTTCCTCAACTGTCTCCTCTCCAAGGAAAACAGTCCCAACTTATGCAATCTTGCTTCATAACTTAAGTGTCTCATTCCTGGAACCCTTCTCGTAAATCTCTTCCACACTGTTTCCAATACATTCACATCCTTCCCATGGTATGGTATGAAGAATTGTTACATAGTACTTCAGCTGAGGTCTAACCAGTATTTAAGGTTCATCATAACCTCCCTGCTGTTCTCTATTAATGAAGCCTGCAGTTCTTTACTAATTGCTTTATTAAATGCTCTCTCTACCTTTCTTGCCACATTTAATGAATTATGCACATATATACCAGGCTTCTCTATTCCTGCACACATTTTAGAAAAGCACCCTTTATACTGTCGTTCCATTTTCTTTGCACCAAGGTGCATCACCTTTTCCAGTTTGTTCTCTTTATAGTCTACTGTTCTCCTAAGTTTTGTTTCATCTACAAATGCTGAATTTTCTCCTGCACATTAAGTTTTTGATCACTTGTACACATTGAAGAGCAAGGAAATAAAGAAAAAAATCAACCCCAGAGGACCTGCGCTATAAACCTTCATCCAGCGCAAAAATATCAATTTACCCATTGCTGTTTGTTACACCTCAGACAATTATTTTTCCACGTTACTACTGTCTTTTGTCCCATGACCTTTCACTCTTCTCACAAATGTGTTCTATGGCATTGTATCAAACGCCTTTTGACAATCAATATCAACAACCTTGCTCTCATTAACTTTCTCTTCAAAAAAAATCTCCAGCAAGTTAGACATAATTTTCTGCAAAAAATCCATGCTGACTCTTCTGAATCAACCTATATTTTTCCATCTATTAATTTTATCCCTAATAATTGTTTTCAGAAGTTTCCCCACCACCAAAGTTAAACTGACTGGTTCATTACAGCTTTTTTCATTGAGGGTTTGCAATTCTCCATTTCTTCTGCACTACCTTCATGTCAGGGAAGATTTAAAGATAATTGTCAATGTCTGTGCAATTTCCACTCTCACTTCCTTCAATATCCTTGAATGCAACTCATTTGGTCCCATTGCCATATTAACTTTAAGTACTGTCAGCTTATTCGATACCTCCTTTATAAAATTGAAAACCCTCTTGTAGCTGAGTTTCTTCCTCTGTCACCACAGCCTGGGCTGTATCTGCTTCATAGGTAAAAACAGATGATAAATATTCATGGCTGTTTACTTATGCCATTTGCCTCCATGTGCAAATCCCCTTTTGGTCCCTAATTGGCCCACAACTTCTTTTGCCATGGGTTTATGATTGTGCTGATAGAACGCTTTGGGGTTTCCATTTATGTTAGTTGCTAGTCTTTTTCATATAATTTCTCTGTGCTTCTCTAACTTGCTTTTGTACCTCCCTTTTGAATCTTTTGTATTCAGCTTGGTTCCTCATTGTATTTATGACCTGACAACTATCATAAACTCACTTATTTTTCCTTCCTAATTTTCAATCTTCTTTGCCATCCAGGGAACTATAGATTTTCTTGTCCTACCCTTCTCGTTTGAGAGAATGTACCTTGACTGGGCCTGAACCGTCTCCTCTTTGAAGGTAGCCCATTATTTAGCTACTTTTTCTCCAACCATCCTTTGGTTCCTGTTGATCCAATTCCGCTCTTTTGTTTTGATCCATTGAAGTTGGCTGTCTGCTTGGCTGATTATTCTAACTCAGGACTTATCAATGTTGTTTTCCACTGTAATTTAAATACCTAATCAGCTTATTATTCTGTACTTTTGTATTACTTGCCTCGCTCAGAGTTTTATGCATTCTGGCATGATGCCATTGTCTGATACTATCTGAATTCTACCACTCACCACTGCTAGGATATCCCATAATAGACCTGGGGCCAGCATCATATTTAAAAGGCCTGTGCACAGCCGGTGAAGTGATGGCAGTTTGGAACCAGCATGCACAGGTTGTGATATTTGCCCTAGACCTGGTACAGATCGGGATCTGGAGGTTCTGATGGACAGTATGGTACAGGAGGGGAATGTTCACTTCCCTAAAGTACAGCAGAGGAGGCCACAGCACTAGACCCTGCCAACGTCATCTGAGGTTGCTACTCTGGATCATTGAGGTCTTGCCTTTCCAAAAGAGTGCCAACCAGTGAAGGAAGAATGTGAATGACCTTCTCCAATCTGCCACATCCTCTGCTAACGGGCACCCACCAAGACTCGTACTCTACCACTTAGACATTTGCCTGAAATGTCTTTCCACACCCATTCCTATCCACCTGAAATCCCCAGTTATTGTCTCTGCTTGCCCTCTGTACTGCCTACTCACTCACTTCAGACACCTCACCATCTACTCCCACTTGTGAATTGTTAAAATAGCACCATTGGATTATTTTACCTCCACACAAGACAGCATGACGCCTGATCCATGTTTGGAGTGAAATATAGCCATTCCCAAACCTCCATCCTTCTGTGGCAGAAGTCACATGGCCATGGCAGCGGAGGAAGGACATTTGCACACAGTTGAATTTCACTCCAAAGTGTGCAATATTACATCAATGTCCTAAAACAACTTTAGTGTGAAAAAGCTTATATGGTGCCTCTCACAATGTGATGCCTCCCAATGCCTCAAGGCTCATGATGTATTTATTAAAGTATAGTCACTGCTGCAACTTCATTCAACAATTTACTGAAAAGATGTGATCTGTCAAGACTAAAACTGGCTGAGTATGCAGTAATGCAAGAAAGGGATTGTACTGTGTCTTGCATGCCACAAAGCTGACGTTTTTTTCAGTGTAATATTGTTTGATGCCATCTGCTGACATTTTTGTGTCCTGCAGGCTTACGTTTGTTTTTAGATGGTGAGTCTCAGATTGGCTCAGTCGCTTTTTCTCTTTAGTGCTATTTACAAAGCAAGGGTGAGGATCCATTGATTGATTAATAGGTGGCATGTGAATACTTGGTCCATGACTATAAACCATCTTTAAACCCTCCTATTACCTCTACCTAACCACTCTGCCTGCTTGTGTAATGGACCATTCATCCTCATTGAATGAAAGCAACTTTGCTGGATGTCACTCCAGAATTCAGACACAGAGATGGAACGGGTGCTTGAACTGTGAACTTTCTACTGCTGATCCAAAGACTTGCCCTCATTAATATGGGGAGATTTTATGTTTAGCAATCTGAACGTTGACTGGGATAAAAGAGATCCACACCAGCAAAACGAGGGCAGCTTTTCAGGTCACATGCAGGACTACAGGTAGTTCTGCTATAATGCGTGTTTCATTAACGCGATTTGGCTGTAACGCGATTGATGAATAGTGTTGTTTGGATAACGCAAACTTTCTGCTGTACAGGGATAACAATTTTCTACAGCGATTTCCCCATAACGCGATTTTCCACAGTGCGAGATTACGCAAGAACGCAACTATCGTGTTATAGGAGAACTTACAGAAAGTATGTCATTGGAAAATCACTATACCTGTGCAACAGAAAGTTCACGTTATCCAAACAGCGTCAACTATTCATCACGTTACAGTCAATTTGCGTTAACGAAACATAGCTGAACTACCTGTATGACACCAGGCCACACAGAGGTATTAGGACTACCGCCCAAAAGCTTGGTCGAAGAAATATGTTTTAAGTATGTCTTAATAGCAGCGAGTAAGGTAGAGAGCCAGAAGGCTTTAGGGAGGGAATTTGAGAGCTTTAGGGCCATGGTAAGTGAATGAAAAGCCCCCAATATTTGAGTGATTAACACTGATTCAGAAAGCCAGATCTGGGCTGGAAGTAATGACAAAAATGGGGAGGAGCAAGGTTGTGGAAGGATTTGAAAACAAGGATGGGAACTTTTATCTCGTCAAAAGTCAACACCAACAGTGAGACTGGGTTGATAGATGGAGGGGACTTGTTGATATGTTTGATAGTTTAAAAAATGTACACCAAAAATAAACATAATGAAGCATTAACACTTAAGAATAGAAAGGCAAGTAACTTCTGGAAAGCCTCCTTATTTCATAGTGTCAATCTCAGTATCCTTATAAGCGTGTTTTGATAGATTACCTCAGTCGATAACGGTCTCACTCCTGCATTTGCAGATTGTGGGTTCAGGCTTCAACTTAGTACTGAAGTGTATCAACCTGAACTGCAGAGTTCACGATGAGCATTTCAACTGAGGCTTGCTCAGCTGGTGCTGCTCACTTCAGGAAACTTTGAGGAAGAACAGGGAGCTCTCTTTCTATTCCATCCAACATTTTTCTGTCAATCAATGGTTTACTGTTTATGCGGTGGACTCAATGGCCTCCTTCTGTGCCATTATTTCTCAAGACGAGGTGCCTGTCTGCTACACTCCAGATGAATTTTCTCTGAGTGGCTGTTTTGAAGATTTAAATGTTCATTAGAAATGTTATGCATTCCTACTGTGAGAGCTGGTGGATTTAAGTTCAGTTAACCAGGGTGGTACAGTGGCTAGCACTGCTGCCTCAAACGTCAGGAACCCAGGTTTGATGCCAGTCTTGGGCAACTGTCTGTATGGAGTTTGCATCAGATTTCCTCCTGGTGCTCCAATTTCCTCTCACAGTCCAAAGATATGCAGGTTAGGTGGATTGGCTATGCTAAATTGCCCTGTAATGTCCACGGTTGTGCGGGCTAGTTGAGTTAGCCATGGGAAATGCAGGTTTACAGAGATTGGATGGGGTGGGTCTGGGTGGATGCTCTTTGGAGTGACGGTGCGGACTTGATGGGCCAAATGGCCTGCTTCCAAGCTATAGGGATTCTGATTCTTAAAAAGGGTCTTGTGGTGAAGTTGTAGTGTATATCTGGGTTCAAGTCCGACTTGTTGCATCAGCCCTACCTGGAGGCGTTTCATAACGTCCAAACAAGCTGATCTCTGAATAAGTGTCCATCCAGCAGTGAAACATGAAATATTTTGGTGCATTAGGTTAATAAATAACTTTATGTCCCTGGACCTCTTTACTTGGAGGGTGCTGCTGGATTTCTCATTTGGTTGAATAAGTTTAAGATTGCCTCCAAAAATGCTCATTACTTGAAATCTAATGATGAGGCTTCTCCAAACTTAGTACACGTTAATAGGCAATAGCAGCAATGTGTACCATCTACAAGATGCACCACATGTAGGAGGGCAACAGATGCATCAGATCACCATGCCCTGCAAGTACCCCTCTAAGTCACTCACTGTCCTGATTTGGAAAGATATTGCCATTCCTTCACTGTCACTGGGTCAAAATCCTGGAATTCCCTCTCTTATGGCTCGCTACCTTCATCAAATGGACTGCGGCGGTTCAAGAAGGCAGCTCACCACCACCTTCTTAAGGGCAGTTAGGGTCAGGCTGTAAATGCTGGCCCAGCCAACACCCACATCCCATGAGTGAATTAAAAAAACATCCTCTAGTTGAAGCCGACTTGTCTGTCAGCCTCACAATGTATTCTGACAGGCTTATGCTCATGACTAAAGGTTTCTTTAGTTGTTGCAATCTGTATGTCAGAAGCAGAGTTTTGTGAACCTTCTAACTTTGCCTGTATCATGACTGACTAAGGAATGATGTGGTGGCAGTGAGAGGATTTGGAGGAACAAAATTTTCAGAACAGTAATTTTGTATCCATATTTGGGAAAGTGTTACCATTAGATTTCAGATTTTCTCAATTTTCCTTTTAAGTAACATCTTTTTTTGCTCAATGTATTTAAGGGTTGTAATGTAATCCTCATTGCCTATGGCTAAAAGCTTGAAATTAACTTTCTTCTATGTCATGGAATGTAAAACCAAAATGTGCTTTCAAAAAATAGAACAGGCAAACTTACTGTTGCCCAACTGTTCAGCAGTTGAACTCTGAATCCTGTTGCTAAACTTGACTTGTCAAAGTGCAGGTAGCATACTGAAACCAACTCAACTTCGACTGAAATTAAATACAGCCTTTAAAATTGCTAAGTTATGTGGTAAGTACTTATTGAACAATTCACCATAGTTGGAATGTAGAGTCACTTTTTACAATTAACTCTAGAGTTGATAGCCACTATGGGTGGCTCTTGTGGTAAAGTGGTTGTGCCTCTACCTCTGGACCAGGGGGATGTTTCCAGTCCCACGTACTCCAGAGAGCAATAACATCTCTGAATAGGTTTATTAGAAAATATTATGAAGGCTACATTATCAGTGGGTGCCCATAATGAGATGGGAAGTGGGGTCTATACCAACATTATTATTAGAGACATGATATTGGAGATAGAGGAGATTTGATAGTGATTTTCAAAATCTCCAGTGGGCTGGACAGAATAGAGAGAGAAGCTGTTCCCGCACATTAAATCTATGCTGTCTTGTTGTTTTTTCTTTTAAGAGACGTGCAAATGAAGCAAGAGTGATGAGAAAACAAACTCTTTCACACAGTGAGTAGTTTGGATTTGGAACACACAGCTTGAAAATGTGGTGGAGGCAGGTTCAATTGAGGCATTCAAGAGGGCATTGGATGAATATCTGACTAGAAATGGTGTACAGGGCTATGGGGGAAAAGACAGGAGACTGGCACAGGGTAATGATGCTTATTTGAAGATTCAGTGCAGGCATATACTATTATGCATTCTGCTGCATTAGCTATAACTTGAATCCCCTCCCCAATGGCATCATATGTCTACTGACAGCACATAGACTGCAATTGGTCAAGAAGGCAGCTTACTGCCACCTTCTCAAGGGTACCTAGGGATAGGCAATAAATGCAGGTCTAGCCAGCAACACAAAAGTCCCAGCAGTGGAAGGAAAGGTTTTGTTGGATTGCAAACTAGTAGAAACGAAAATTATTGGTGATACTTCTGAACCAAATGTTATGGTGTTTGGAATACTGGACTAGAGATCTGTTTGTACCTTCTTTCTCTTGCCTTTTTGCTATACCCAGAAGTGCTATTACACACAACCGAGTGATTTTTCTAGCAACACAATCACCTTGACTTTCTCGCCCTTTCAAGTGCCACCAGTTAACACCGGTGTACCTAATATTTACAAGAAAAGCCCATTCTGTTTGTACCGAAATTGTAGATATTTTCTAATCACCCTGTTGCACAGCTGTGGATCAGGTGAGATTTGAACCTGGGCCTCCTGGCTCAGAAGTAGGGACACTATCACGAGTCTTTGTACCTAAATTACATGTTCAAAATTGGGGAAAAAAGACAATGTTTGTAACTCTGATTGATGGAAAAGCCTCAGTGAAGAAGATTCGCTAAATGTTGTTTTTGTTCCTTGGCCCAGGTTGACATTACCCCAGTCGGTCTGACACAGTCGGTCCCCGGCCTCAGCAGACACGCTGCGCTGATGGGGGACACAGGGTCACGGCGATCCACGCTGGTCTCCAGGCTTCCGATATTCCGGCGCAGCACCTCGAAGCGGCGCGACTCCCTGCCGTCGTCGCCGTCCTCCGCGACTAACGGGGTGCACACCTCCTCGCCATCCAGCACCAACTCGAGCTCGAGCAGCATGGGGAAGCGTAGAAACATCTTCCGCACCGCCTCCATCGGCTTCCCCGGCAGGAAAGCCGCGGGGGAGCCTCGCGCTTCGACTCTGTGTAACGGTCAGGGCAACAGCCCCGGGGAGGAAGGCGCCAGGGCGAAGGGCCGCCACACGTTCGGCTTGAGCGTCGTCCCACGCGGCAAGAAGATCACGCGGTCGGCCACGGAGGACTTCGAGAAGGGGAAAGAGCTCAACAAGAGCGTCTTCATGAACTGCCTCAGCTCGGGGAGGTCCAGCGTGGACGAGGGTGACGATTCCGGCTTTCCCGATGACCGCCCGGCCAAGCAGCGCGGCAGGAAGCTGCTCCCCCGCTCCTTCTCCACGCACCACAAGCTGTCCAAACCCAGCGCCGCGCGCAGCCCGCCGGCCGAGCAGCCCGCCCACGTGATGCTGCAGGCCGACGAGCTCGAGCCCAGGGGCCCTGCGCACGAGGAATGCTCCAAGTACCTGCAGGTGGACAACACCGAGGGCTCCCTGCATTCACCGCTCCTGTCCAGCGACAACACCACCATCCTCACCCCTTCCGAGTTCGTGCCCGTCTCCGCAGACTCCGTCTCCGAGGCGGACAAGGAGCTGTTGGCCTGCCGTCCTGCCCCGACTCTGACTGAGCTCGACCCAGCCCTCCCTGCTACCCCCCTGAACTCACTCGGACCTGCTCCTACTCCTCACCTCTGCCCCTCCGAGGATGGCCTTCCCCTCAGGGAGACTGCGCTGCTCTCTGATGTGGAGCTCTCGACCCCTCACGCTGAAGAGTTTCCGCCCGGATTCGACTGCCCGGGACTGAAGGGGAGCTGTGAAAGCGACGGCCGGCCAACCCAACCACCCGGAGCTGTCACTCAGAGCGTCCCTTATGTCAAACACCAGCCGTCCTTCACACAAAACGGCCTGGAAGCGACAACACTCTCCACTGAGAAGGTGTATGAGTTAGCCATCACAAACTCCATCCCCATGATTAAACCTCATGAACACTGCCAGGGAACATCTCATTCCACAGGTATGGGCATCTAGATTGTGGTCTCTCAACACCTCGCTTTTAAAGTTCTTATGCTTGTCTTAAAGTTTATTTGTAGTCAACAACTCTATTGTAACCTCCTCCTCCCCACCACATTCCAGGATCCCTGCTCTCATCCAATTATGCTTCTTGTTTGACTTCCTACCCTCAATCATTGATAGCTCTTGCTCTCATCTGTTTAGGTTCCACGCATCGGGATTCTCTCTCTGAGCCCTCGTTGCCTCTCCCTTCTCTTCAAAAAGCTCCGTGAAACCATATCCTTGATCAAGCTTTGTCCAAAGATGATGATGTGTGTTTTTCTGTCAAATTTTGTTTGATTACAATAATATGAAAGCCCTGGAACATTTTACCACATTGAAGACTATAAATGCAAGTCATTGAACTGCATCTTCCTTATGGACTAACAGGAGTAGCATTGAAATTGGTCCAATTCAAGTTTATTATTTGTTTAATACAGACTAACATAGATTACAGTACTGAATAATTCAGATTTAATATGAAAATATGCTTACAATATGCCCTGGTATTATTGCCAGACCATTAATCCAGAGACCCAGGTAATGTTCTGGGACCTGGGTTGAAATCCTGTCACGGTAGATGGTGGAATTTGAATTCCAAACAAAAGTCTGGAATTAGGAGTCTATTGATGACCATGAAATCATTGTCAATGGTTGTGAACACCCATCTGGCTTGCTAATGGCCCTTTTAGGGAAGGAAAAACTCTATCCTTACCTAGTCTGGTCTCCACGTGACTCCAGATCCAAAGCAATATACCCTTTGGGCAGTTAGGTATGGTAATGAATGCTGGGCTGGCCAGTGCTGGTGATAGTTGGATGCAGGTAGGAGTTTGTAAAGATTGATCAAAGGGAAGGGTGGGCTGGAGAGGTGAGAAGGGAGATGGACAGGTTGTGTCAGGTCAAGGAGGCGGGGTTAAGAGGGAGGACTGGACATGGAATGAGGCTGGGGGTGGGAAGATTTTGAAACTGGTGAACTCTATGTTGAGGACATTGGGCTGTAAGCTCCCAAGGTGGAATATAAGTTGTTGTTCCTCCAGTTTATGTGTGGCCTCATTGTGACAGTGGAGGAGGCCCAGGATGGACATGTCGTCAAGGGAGTGGCAGGGGGAGTTGAAATGGCTGGCAACCGGAAGGTGGTAGTGTTTGGAGCGTACAGAACGCAGAAGCTCTGCGAATTGGTCACCGAGTCTGTGCTTGGTCTCTCCAGTGTGGAGAAGACCATGTTGAGAGCAACAGATGTAATAGACCAGGTTAGAAGATGTACAGGTGAATCTCTGTCAGATTTGGAATGGTTGTTTGGAGACTTGGACAAAGGTGAGGGGGGAGGTGTGGTTGCAGGGAGAGGTGCCGGGTGTGGGGTAGACGACGGAGTCGTGGAGTGAGCTTTACAGAAAGCTGATGGGTGTGGGAAAGGAAATATCTTTTTGATGGTGGGGTCTGATTGCAGGTGGTGAAAATGGGGGATGATGATGCGTTAGGTTTGGAGATTGGTTTGGTAGTATGTGAGAACTGGGGGCTCGATCCTTATTGTGGGAGGGAGAGAGTTTGAGGGCAGAAGTGCGGGAAGTGCAGGAGATGCGGTTGAGGGCATTATGAATCATGGGAGAGGAGAAATTACGGTCCTTGAAGTCGGAGGACATCTGGGATGTCAAAGAGTGAAACGCTTCATCCCGGGAGTAGGTGAGGTGGAGGAATTGGGAGAATGGGATCACATTTTTGCAAGAGGGTGGGTGAGAGGAGGTGTAGTCGAGTTAGCTGTGGTAGTCAGTGGGCTTGAAATGGATGTCGGTGCTAAGTTGGTTCTTGGAGATGGAGGCAGAGAGGTCCAGGAAGGGGAGGGACGTGTTGGAGATGGTCCAGATGAATGAGAGGTTGGGGTGAAAGGTGTTGTTGAAATGGATGAACTATTTGAGAACCTCAAGGGAGCATGAGGCAACACCGATACAGTCATCAATGTAGCGGAGGAAGAGGGGAGGGATGGTACCAGTGTAACTGTGTAAGAGGGACTATTCCGTGTATCCTATGAAGAGACACGCATAGCTGTAACCTGTGTGGCTGCCCATAGCTATCCCTTTAGTTTGTAGGAAGCGGGAGGAGTTAAAGGAAAAGTTGTTGAGGGTGAGGACAAGTTCTGCCAAGCAAATGAGAGTGTTGGTGGAGGGGGATATTTGTGCCTTCTATTTGGAAGGAGGGACAATTCTAAAAGAGACTACAAGGTGCAGAGCTGGATGAACACAGCAGGCCAAGCAGCATCATAGGAGCAGAAAGGCTGACGTTTCGGGCTCTAAAAGAGACTACTTGCTTAGAAAGGAGAACCGACTGGTAGCGATCAATCTGTCAATGCCTCCTAAAGCACAGATTAAGCAAACACAAGGGCTGCTAATAAACTTTGCAGGTACTAGAGGTGAAGAGATCATCGTTGTATTCTCTTAGTTAATGGTTGAATAACTTTGACATCGATGAGTTAGAAGAACCAATCAAGTAGGAAAGATTTCATAACAGCAAATCTGCTGCAATTATACATCCGTATACATACAGCATAACTGTCCACCTAACTCCAGTCAACAAAACGCTAAGATCACAGCTTTTGAGGGCTGACAGCTTTTTGTAAATAATGTATAAATAGCACCATTTCATTTGTTTGATCTATTTTACCACTTTGGGAGCTTTATTAAGCTGTTTATTAAAAATTTAAAAGGAGGAGATTCCCTAGAATAGTACCAGTGATGTAGGGCTTCATTGTTTGGAGAGACTGTTGAAGCTGAGATTTTAGATTGGAGAACTTGAACCAAAGATTTTAATACATGTATTTAAAATGATGAAAGATTTTGTTTGAATAGATGGGGAGAAGCCACTCCATTGGCAGAAGTGTCAATGACCAGATCCAGAGGTGGTATTAGGAATTTTTAAAGCACGAATTGTAATTTAGAATGCATTATCTGAAAGCATGGGAAATGTTATAGTGACGTAAAAAAGGGAGTTGGTTAATTACTTCAAAGGATTCTGTGCTGTATGACTCTGAGGGATCAAAGAAGTAACACTAATTGAATAGCTCTTTTCAAGGAGTTAGCCTAAATGGAATGGGCGAGTGGCCTCCTTCTGTGCTGTGTCATTCTGTGACTCTAGAGCTTGGAAATCTTAGAACAAGTAAATAGAAAAGAATATATAATTAACCCCCCCCCACCAAAACAAGGCTTACAGTCAATTGTGATGTTGTAGCCCCTGCAATGATGTTTAACACAGTATTTTGAAAATTTTAAGAGAGGAAAACAAGAGAAAGAAGAGAGAAGGGCTGAAAATATACCTTACTTGTATCACAATGCTGCTGTGTAATTCCTTTGGCTGAATTCAATTTATGGGCAGAGGTCAGAAATTCTATTCATTGCTGCCTTAATTTACAATAACACATGGCCAATGACAAATTAAGAATCTGTATTCATTTGGAAACGATTTCTTATTTTGGTTTTACTCCTGGTTTCCCATTTAACTAACTTTGCGATATTGTGCATATGATAGACGTGGTATTGTGATGAGGGTGGAGGAGGTGATTTGACGCGGAGAAGAGGAGATTTGGACCAATCTTTTATAGGTCTGTGTTCCTGAAGTAGGATCCAACTGTCAGAATGACATTTGTGTAAAAATACCATACTTTGTAATTAATTGAGCATTTTCCATGTAGTAATAGATTTGGGATATTGTCAGTTCTTAAACTTTAATTCCTATATCTTATGCCTTCTCCTCTTCACCATGCCAATAACAGTAAGGATATAGCAACCTTCACCTCTTGGTCAATCCTTTTTCACACCAACATACATATGGTTGTGCATGGATGGTGCTGAAGGAATATTGCTGTTAAGCAATTAATTGGAATTCCTGTCAGATGCTGCAAGATACAGAGAGAGAGAGAGAGCGTGCAAATTTCACGTAGTCATTTTCTGATTAGAGAGCTAATCATTCATGGGAACTAGTTGCTTCGCTGAGATTTCAAATTTGGAAGTAGTTCATTTCTGCTCTGGAAGATAAGGAGCCACAGTCCATTCGTGACAGTGGAAATTAAACCCAGATTCGGGGAGAAAAAGGTGGGCACCGTGAAGACAGGTGAGTTTAGAATTTAAAAAAAATCAGCTTCATGTGCATCAGTCAGTTCTGCTTGTATCATCACTGTGTTTTTAGTAGTTTATAATCCATTTTAGATTTTCTGATCCATGGATGTCACTACTGAAAAAGATTAAATATACAGTTTGAACTATATAGTGAATATTTCTTACTTATCATTTTATTTATATGTACAATATGGATCTATCTGTTACTATAAATATTCAAAATATTTGAATACAAATTTATTGGAAAAAAAGTATTTGACAGAGTATTGAGGGCAGAATAACATGTTAAAGTCACCCGCCACGTTATAGTGAGTGACACCCAACAGATCCTGGTCTTGCTGAACAGATTTAAACTATGCCTGAGTGAATGGGCTTTGAATAAATTAAGGTCACTCCTCCCCACAATGAATTTTAATGTTGAGCAAAAGGAAGCGACACTGCCAATTTACAGTGGACACAGTTGAAAGAGATTCTGGGATTGAGCTTCCTTGACAGAGTAAACGGAGTGATTGAGTTTGCAGCCTTGCATTGAAGTCAGTTGTAAATAAACGTAGGGAGAGACTTGAAACAATTTTATTTTAAACCAGCGTCAGCCTCTCTGCTCCTATGATGCTGCTTGGCCTGCTGTGTTCATCCAGCCCTGCACCTTATAGCTTTAAAGACAGTCTTATCTCTTCACAGTATGCCCTTATAGATTTCAAGATCAGTAAATGGCAAATTTCCTTCCCTGAAAGGTATTAGTGAATTAGCGCAGATTTAGTGTAGCTTTGGCAGTACAGACTTGATTGGCCAAAGGACCTCTTCTGCACGATATGATTCTTTGAAGCAGATGGAATTTTACAACAATGATAGTTTCGTAGTC